AAGTCAGTTAATCTGGACATTACCCATATTAGCACATAGGCCTCTAAATTAATTTATTATGGATTTTTTTAACATGTGACATAGAGGTTAATAACATATTTTCAGCATTAATTATCATTAAAAAAATAAAATTTAATATTTATTTAATTAATTATCTAATTAAAACAATACATGTAACATTGATGATAAAATTAATGTTAATTTTTGTTATTTTCTATACTAATTAATATAAAAAAGGTGTATTAATTATATCTTTAAAGGCACAAATTAAATGAATCAATTTTTTTAGGCATATTAGCCTCTGAAAGGTATGATTGATGCATTTTAGTCCCCCAATTACAGCTATTGTTTTAATGTTATAATTATAATAGTATGTAAGATTGTAATTTTACAATCATAACTTGTTATTAAATAAATAGCTGTATACAATATCACATGTAAACTTTTGAATGAAAATAGTTAATTATATAATAATATATCATATTGTGAACTTACAAAGTTATGTGGTATTATAATTATATCATTCTTAACATTTTTTTTTCTAAATTGACTTTAATTTTTGGAAAATTTTTGATAGACAATATTTTTTCAACTTTTTCATATAACCACATATTATTAAATAATTGGTTATTTTCATTTTATTAAAATCCGTAATATTATATGTATTAATTTATTTAATGATATATCAAAGTTGTACAAAAAAATATACAAAAAAATTATCTCTCATATCATTACCTTAATTTTTCCATTTTAGCATATTTAATTAAATTTAAAGCTAACTTAACTGAGGTATAATGACACGCCAAATTTATGTTAACAGGACTTAAAAGAGTTAAAAATTTAAACTTTAGAGACTAAAATGGAAATTTTTTCAATTGAAGGATTAAAACGACCAACAAAGGATTTTAACCCACACAGATCAATAACAAATTGTTATGGTATTGCTTCAAATTAGCAGTCAACCACAGTAGGCTTGGCTTGCGTGGTGGTTGACAATCTTTGGGCTGCGAGAGAACAGATTTGAGTTATTGGGCTGAGTTAAAGGGTTGGGCCTATAATACGAGGCCCTAGGCCTATATTTGTTAATGGGCATTTTTGTGTCTTCAATTTTACAGTGAAAGATAAGAGATAAATCAAAAAATTTATTTATTAACAACAGCCATGCCGCTAAGGTGCTGCTTTGTGAAGGTTTTTGGATGGTGATGGGAGGGTTGTGGATGTGAAAATACATGGACATAAATATAAGGTGTGGTGTGAACCTAAAACTAATTAACAATTAGGTGGAGTAATTAGTTTGTTTTATTTCTAATGTGCTTGTTGGACCTCGTACTTGGAGTTTAATGTAAAGAACTCTTTTTCATGGTTAGGAGTACTCCTGTACTCTGAATTAATAACATTTTTTTGTTTATAAAAAAATAGATAGAATAATGCTTTTTATATTATTCAACTTATATATTTCTTTATTAATTTCTCGATATAAAATTCTCACTTAACACTCCTTTTTTCATGTGCATACTTCGTATGAATTCCAAGTTATGTCACAACATTTTCAGTTTTCAAAAAATGAAATCTAAACTCTAATAACGTGGAAAATTTTGCTATATAAACCAAAATACAAGATAGAATTCCAACACAAAATCAATTAGTATTTTTTAATATTTCAATCTGGGATTACCATAACGTGGATGCATGAGGATTGGCTGGGGGCTTGGACAACAGGGGACGCTTAATGGGATTTTCAAGAGAGTTTATTGGGGATGGGCGCTGGTGACCCTGGTTTATGGGTAGATGGTGAACGGGGCAGCAGTTTAGTTTGTGAAAAGTTTTGTATCTTGGGCTGGGCTTCTCTACGGGTCAAGGGTTTAGAAGCCGAATCTTAGTAACCCATAACTTAAAGTTCTTTTCATATTTATAAAGATAAGTAGATGTTAGTCTTGAATTTAAAAAATAATTAAAATTTTAATTTTAAATTATATTATTTTATTTAATTAAAATTTAATTTAAAATTTAAAAAATTATTTAATTAAATAAAATTAATACGTATTAATCTCTTATATATATATATATAAATATATATAAAACTAAAGAAACAGATGAATGGAAGTATAACTACGAGTCCTCCAACCCTTACACCTCATGCGCGTCTCGAACTTACATAGCTGAGGGAAAAGGCATCGGTCACTATATTTAAATGGAGATTTCTCGAACTTCTCCGTAACTTTTGGTAAGGTTTTGGCCGAGGTTATTTAGTGTATATTTGGTGAAATTTATAAGTGTTTTAATTTTTAATATTATTTATATTTTATAAATTTAATTTTTTTTTAAAAAGGTCCATTAGATATTTATTTGAGATTTTAAAATCCTTCTAAAATCTCAAATAAATATCTAATGGACCTTTTTAAAAAAAAATCTATTATTTTGAGACAAAGAAAATACTTCTTAAACAACTTGACAAGATCCAAAGTGAGTAAGCTTGATTCCTTTGCCCATAGGGAGATATTTGAACTTAGTCCTTATCATCAATCTCCTTTAACTATCTTGAAAAATATTCTATGGGTTTTTTTAAATATGTATCTTAAAGCCATAGGTTAAAGATGTATTAATTATATTTTTTATAATTAATTTACATAAAAAATAAAAATTAACTTTAAATTTATCAACTACCTAATTAAAATCATTTACTTGACATAGTGTTTAAAATAATATTTACTGTTATATTTTTCTATAACAATTTATTACAAAAGGCTACAATTAATATAACTCAAAGGATATAGGTTAAAGAAATCAAGATTCTATTATCAGTACATAAATATAGGGTGAGAAAAGTTCATTTCGTCTCAAACTTCTTGCCCTTTAAAAAAACCACAAACTTTGACTGAATTTATGATTAAATTATTTATTAGTCATTTTACTTACAATTTAAATTCATTTTGATCCATTAATTTTTATGTGTTTATCTAAACTTAGCACTTTGAATACACTAAACCTTAAAAATCTAAATTCTAACATATTAAATGTTAAATCTTAAAAAAATGTAAACCCTAAGGTTTTGAATACTACATCCCAACAAATCTAAATACTAGCTTTTTGAATACTAACCTTTACAAAAAAAAAAAAATTAAATCTAGTAACATTTTGAACTAAACTAAAGGAAAATGATTCAGACACCCTTTGAGTCGATATATATGCCAACAACTAGCCAATTCAGTCATTTAAATATAATATAAATATAATCAATTCAACCAATTCTCCCATTTTGTATGTATGATTACATTTTTAAGTTTTTCTGCCTTTAATTTTATATAAAAAAATCAATAATTTTTAATAAATGTGTCGTGGCAATGTGATGAATGGAAGGATATTTGTATCACTATCTTAAACTAAAACTTAAAAATCTAAGGGTGTGTTTGGTTTGGTTGATTTTATTAACCTACAACATTTGTTTTAAAACAACTAGTTAGGGTTTTTGAAAACATACTAACCTATAGGTTCATTTTAAACTATAAATTAAAAGAAATTTGATATTCTTATTTTATTAGTTATTAATTATTTTTAATGGTTAAACCAAACAAAGAAATAACATCTTAAAACACTAAATCCTAAAATAAAATTTTACGCCTTCATACTATAAAACTTTAATCCTAAAAAATATAAATTCTAATTGTTCAAGCATTGAACACTAAAAAAATCTAAACCTTAACACTTCAAACACTAGACTCCATAGGCCAAAAAAGAACATTAAACCCTAAGGACTAAACCTTAACACCTTAAATACTTCTCTCAAAATATAAACCCTAACACATGCTAAAACCTAACCTTGAAATCTAAATCCTAACAATATAAACATTTCATCCTAAAAAAATCTATACTTTAAACATTAAGATCATAAATATTATAACATTTTTTTAATATGTGTCATTCGGACACAAGTTAAGAGTGCATTAATTGCATCGTTCTCTTAATAATTGTTATGGAAAATATAATAGTTAACTTCATATTTATCAAGGACACAGATACAAACACCATCCAGTTTAACAAATTGCATAATACACTTATTAGAAAATTATTATTTTCTGATTTAGAATTAAATGTAGAAAATTTAAAGATGTAACCATGCATAAAACATTGGGAGCTAGTTAAATCGGCTACATCTAGATTATACTTTGATGAATGAATTAGTTGGGTGTTGGCATGTGTGTCAAACTGAAGGCGTGTCTAAATCATTTTCCCTTTATCAATCACTCAATTAAAATCGTACACATGTCATTGTTGTTGAAAATGAAACTAGCTTTTATATTTTCATATAAAATTAATAAAAAAAATACAATTAATGCATGATTAACCTGTGCCCTCAGGTCACAAGTTAGAAAAGCCCACATTACAAATAGATTTTAATTAAATAAAACAACTTTATTTAAAGTTATAACTCTAAATTTTTTTAAAAAATTAACAGTGATATACTCTATCTTCTAATTTTAATAAGTCAATATTTATTTAGAAAAGATTGAATCCCTTTTGACCCTGTAAACTATAAAGTGCGGTGTAGGTTGAGGTTTCCTTTGATACTCTGATTAAAACTTGGTAGGGTGAAAAACTGAGGAAAGAAAATGATGGAGATCTCTATTATTGAAAATGTCGAGAGGCTATGGGATTTATGGAACATCAGATCATTCATTATTTTAAGCCTCTCGCTGCAGGCTTTCTTAATTTTGTGTGCACCGCTAAGAAAAATAACATGGAGAAAATGGGGAATATTACTTTGGTCAGCATACTTGCTCGCAGACTGGGTAGCCAGCCTCGCCATTGGGTCCATCTTAAGCAACGAGAAGAAAAGTGCTACTAGAAGTAGTGACATCCAGGTGTTTTGGGCACCCTTTCTCCTGTTGCACCTCGGGGGTCCGGACACCATTACTTCCTTTGCTCTTGAGGATAATCAGTTTTGGGTGAGGCACCTGCTTGGGCTTGCATTGCAGGTTGGTTCTACGCTCTATGTCTTCATCTTGTCCTTCCCAAAGAACAAGCTGTGGCTCCCAACCATCCTAGTGTTGATTGCAGGAATAATCAAATATGCAGAGCGAAACCGTGCCTTCTATCTCGCAAGCTTTGACCATCTTGGAGGCAATTGGGTGGCCAGCAAATGGGAAGATGGAATTCACATTCCAGAACAATTCCAAAAGATGGACAGCAGGGTAACTTTTGATGATGGTTTCAGGTCAAAACTGTGGAGTGCAGTTCACCACTTAGGCAGTATCAAGATGACACTTGTAGGTCCTTCTTTAACTCAAACTCAATGCTCTGATATCAGAGACACCTTTCTTCAAGAAAAGGCACTTGATGCATTACAAATAATGGAGATTGAGCTAAGCCTCTTGTATGAGATCCTCCATACCAAGTTGCCTGTGGTTGATTGCAAGACTGGATACGTCTTCAGGGTTATAAGTCTGGTTTGCATTCTGGCAGCCTTGTTGTCATTCTCATTACTTAAGAAGCACTATGAGCTGTTTGACATCTTGCTTACCTATGGATTGCTGGTCGGTGGCTTCGCGTTGGATTTGATATCTATCATCTTGCAGTACTTCTGCTCCGATTGGATACTTGTTGCTCACTTGCAAAACAAGAACTCTCCATTCATTGACAGGAAAAGGTGGTCTAATTCAGTTTCCCAGTTAAATTTCATTACTTATCATATTAAGGATGGTCCTTCTGGGTTGAAAAATGTTGCTGATTTGCTTTACATGAAAAGATCGTTGGAGGTGTTTAGAGGGTTACGATGTTTGTCTTCCCAGGAATTCAGAAAAGACAAAGAATGGTCCTTCATTTTCGAGGAAGTGAAGCAATTGAATGAGCATTTAAGTCAACAACTCAAGAAAAGCTCGTCTAAGACGGTACTAGAGGCCAAGGAAGTTTGGTTAAAAAGCCGTGATCGAGTTCTTATGAAATTCACAAATTTTAAGGAACTCAAGCAGACTGTCGAAAATTTAGACTACACGAAAAGCATTCTAACATGGCATATAGCAACTGAATTATGCTACCAAGTAGACCTAGGGCCTAAGTCTGATGAGGACAAAGCAATGTGCAAGAAATTTTCAGATTATATGTTCTATCTTGAAGTAATGCAACCCACTATGATGGCAGCGGTATCAGTCAACTGGAAAATGGTATTTGAAGACACACTGCGGCAGACCAAGTCCTTTGTAAGAAGGACAATCTCAAATGAACAGGAAGCTAGCAAAGAAATCTTTGAACAGGGAATGAATAAAGCGAGAAGAAGGGAAAAAATCCTTGGAATGAACTCTGTGTTGGGTTCTGCAATTGATCTTGCTCAAAAGCTGAAGAAGCCGCCGGACGCTGCTTGTCCGTGGGAGTCAATGAGCAAAGTTTGGGTACAACTAATGTGCATTGCTGCTATTAATTGCAGGCCAAGTGTACATGCACAACAACCAAGTAAGGGCGGAGAACTTCTCACATTCGTTTGGTTGTTCATGAATCACATGGGGCTCGAAACTCACTTTTCAACCCATTACTAAGATTATTAGTGACTTTCATGAAACTGTTCACCAAAGTTTGATTCTTTACGTATGTCTTTCTTTGTTAGCCACTGCTACATTGTCATGTTTAGTGCATTAGGGTTCTGTATCTTTGATTCAGTGGTTCATTCGATCATGTTTAATTGTATTTTCTGCATATTTTTCATTTGAATTGTTCCCTCTTCTCCTCGAATTCTGTGTTCTTATGTTTGTATTATGTTTATAACCTAAATGCAATTTTTTTAATAGGAAATAGAAATTATATTAAAAATAAAAGGGAGATTATATATGAATCTCTAATTCACACAAAAGTTAGAAGTTAAACTATAGCACTACATACAATTGAAAACTATGCTTAACACATGAACAATTAAGTTAAGAAAACCACTAATACATTGTTATACAATCATCATAAGGGCAAAAAGAAAAATAAAAAAGTAGGAAGAACATCCACCATGGGTATTATGAGTATTCTAAGTTCCTAGACATTCCCAACTACCATGTCAACTTCAAAAGAAAGCAAGTAATCTAACAAATAATAGTCCCCACCCATTGAATGTTGAACAAGAATCTAAACCAACCTATGGAGAGTTGGAGTCTCCCTTGGGGACTACGTCATAACTTGATTTTTACCCAACATTTTTGTAAAAATTCTCAAATTTTGATAAAAATATATAAATATGAAAAATAATAAAATCAAACACAAATTAAAAAATTAATAAATATAAATATAAAATAAATTTTGGGAAGTAAAATAAAATGTAAACAAAAAATAATGTAATGAAAAATATCGGACTTGATTGTGGACTAACCAAAGTTTTATGCTTTGTTTCAGGGATTTGGATGAAAGCAAGTAAAGAATTGGGATTAGAATGATAAATTGTTGAAAGTTGAAGGCTGCAGTTCGTTTCTCAAGCCTTAAACGACGTCATTTTAAGCTGGTGGGAATTAAAAATCCTTGGTTTCTTCTTCCTCCTCATCAAGGAACCAAGCAATGGTCTCGATTTGGCAAAAACCTGCTTTTAGTCCTTTACTTTATCAAGTTTAAAAGTTTTAGTCCCTTATTTTATACTATGACACTTTTAACCCCTCATCTATTAAAATTGAAAAAAATAGTTTTCACTTCGTAATATTTTGTTAGTTTTATTAACTGACTGTTAATTTTATTAGCTAACTGTTAGTTGATTGTTAACTGACAAAAACTTTCTTTCAACTAACAAAGTTAACAGAACTAATTTTATAATATTTTGTTAATTTTGTTAACTGACTATTAGTTGATTGTTAATTGATAAAAATCTACTTTCAGCTAAAAGAGTTAATAGTAAGTATAAAATGAGTGTTATTTTCTTTGATTTTAATAAGTGAGGGGTCAAAACCTATAAATCTAGTAAGATAAAGAGTTAAAAATATTATAATATAAAGTAAAAGACTAAAACTTTCAAATTTGATAAGGTAAGTCGCTCAAAGTAGGTTTTTGCCTCCGATTCTGCTCTCTCCCTTCCCTGTAACTACCTTTCCAGAATTTCTCCAGCGAACCACGTAGTTCTCCACCCTCATTCTCCTCCCGCGCTTGGGATTTCTATATAAAACTCTCAGACCTCCTTTTCCTAAAGGGGCTCCAGATTTTCCTTCCTCTCCGACCTCCTCTCGTTTCCTCTTCCGATTTCACCTCCTTCCTCTTGATATCGCCTCTCTCTTCCGATCTCCCTCTCCCTTGGATCCTCAATCTTTCATCTCCAATTCTATTCCAGAACCACCACTAGATCTCCGCAACGACGATCTGGTTTCAGCTCCAGAACTCAACGGCAGATTCCAGATGTTCTCTGATTTTCCGAGTTCGATTCCAGTCACGTTTCTGCAGTTCCTGCCTGGATCTCAGAGGTACCGGCACCCCTCCGTTACTATCCAGATTCCAGTGTCTTTTCCAGCTCTGGTGTGCTTAATTCCGGCGATTCAGTAACCTTTGACCTCTCTTGGTAATCCTCTCTTCACTTAGAATTTGCATATAAGGTCTAAATTCATCTTCCTTTTTTTTTTTTTTAATTAATTTTCCTTAATCTCTGTTGATTGAGATCCAATATTGAAGTGCTTAGGGAACAGAGGGCTAGGTGAAGCCCGCCGGATTCGTCCGCTGTGCTGCCCCTCTTCTGTTTTTTCGTGGAGTTATAATGTTGAAGACGAGATTTCTGTTGATTTGTGATGTTTTCCATCTCTATTTCTGTTTTACGAATTTGTTTGCACTTTCTGTGAATTGAATTGGCTTTTGAAAACCTGTTGCATTCCGAAATTTTTGATAGCATCTTGAAATTGCAGTATTATTTTCATATCACTGTTTAGTTCATTATTCGCTGCATATTTGGATTTGTACATGTCTTCATCTCATTATTACTCAGATCATCCGTGTAATTTTCATGACTTCGTAAATTGTTAATAAATACTGTGCTTACTAGATTCATTTTGTTTTAGGTCTGTCATGGCATTTGGAAGTTGTCAGTACATCCTTTCGTTTTGGCATAATTCCTAAGGATAAACATTAAAAATGATCTGTTTCTGTTTCTGTTTGATTTCCTTTTTCGATATGCAGTATACTTGCCATTTTGTAGTCATACAGTTTAGTGACTTTCCTTTGTCTGCTTCCTGCGGCTGCGTTGGACAAATTGATTTTTCGAGTATGTTATTTTTCTGATACAACCTAAAAAATATATTCTGTCGCATAGGGGTGGCAATGGGCCGTGCATGGTCGGAGAATCCCTCCCGTCTCCGTTTCCATGAATGGTAGGGATGGAGATCCTCATGGAAATTTTGAATGGAAGGCAGATTTTACCCCGTCCCCATTCCTTGCGTGGGGATACCCATTCCCAACCAATCTATTTCAAAATGTGAATCTTTTTACGTATAATTAATTAATATTTAATTACAATAAATAAAATTTTAAAGTTTAAGTATAATTAATTAAAATTTTTTAAACATAAAATTAA